AAGCATAGTGGTAGGCCATGGATGAAGAGAGAAGACAAGGCCGACCATGGCTTGGTCGTACAACAGTGCTGGTGACTTCAGCGGTGGCGACTATGGGTGGAGGCGCGGGCCGAACGCATTCAGGCATCGGCATTGCTTGTCCATGGCCGATCTCTGCGGTATTTATAGACGAGCCATCGATTGTGGCTGACCCTTCCGATGTGTCTTCAGATTTGTAAATGAGCCGCCATTTAGATTTGGAGGCACTTGTTCGAAAAATTTAAAGAACATACATGAAAATGAGAATCGTTGGAAATTTGTTGGGAAAGATGAAAATATAAAATCAATTGTCTGAGGCGTGCAAGCATTGTCCTTGAGGATAATTCCGCCCATTAAAGTACGAAATTCGGTGCTATAGGCTCTAGCGGTTATTCTCTTACGATACAACGTACCTTTTTCTTTATTTTGCACAAAATATTAGAAGGAACATAAACAACTGAATTGTATGTATAACCCAACAAAAAAGGGCAAGAGCATTCAAATGAGAGTAAAGATATTAATGTTGTTATATATATGTATATATTTTCAATTATGATCGGAGTAACAATTAATAAGTAAATGAAAGAGAGCCGTTTTCCATCGTCAATTATTGTATTGAATTGAAAACCGTTACAAATGATTACTGACGTGGCACCACGAGATCACTGAATATTTTCTCTCGTCAACTAGCCTAGGCATCGGGCCAGGTGCTTGGTTCATCCGGGGATAAGCTAGGCCGCCATTTTCGATCTTCTGTCCCAATGCCAATCACTCCAGGTCTCCTCAAAACCTTCGAACTTGTGTTTAAGGGACAAACTTCAAGCCATATCACCATGAGTATTGCGAGGTTTGCCTACGTTGGCGAAAGAATAGCGCACAACGAACCTGATGTTTGCATCGCGAGTGAGAGCGCACAGTGGATTATTAAAATCCTAAATGCAAGTCGTGGCATTGGACCTCACATCGATGGCACGGGACATTGACGCAGCATTTACGTAGCCTTTGCTCTCCCACTTCAATATAGCTATTTTTGGGATGTGGTTCCTCCAGGTTCATATCCGTTGGTATCGTAGCAATCCAACGTGTTTCCTAGTCACAATCGAGTGGCAAGGATATATGGTGGCATTAGTGCTGGCGCGTTCAATCCAGCCATAGGATAAGGCTAGTGCACAACTGGCCCCTAGAGACGTACGGGATATGAAAACATGGTGAAACTTTGTTGCGACTCGAATCACACAATAAAGGCATAGGACCTCGCCGTAGGATTCATACGGCATTGGGCTCTTTCACCTTGATAGCTAACTTCTGGACCGTGATTTTCCCAAATCGCTAAACTTTCATAGCGCGTTATTATTTAAATTACATCGTCATGTATCCCCCTCTCCCACTATATATGTGATCATGGTGCGTCATTCTAATTCAATTCTCATTTCATGAGCTGTAGTACCTTATTCATTTTCATTTTCATCACTTATTGCAATTCTTTCTTCTGCTTCTGCTTCTTCTTCTTTTTTCTGCTTTTGTTTATGGAAACTCAAAGAAATAAATGTCACCCTCCATCTTATTCATAATTAACTAGTTATCTCCATAAAAAGACTCTAGATCTGTACTTGTGCATAAAGAATGACTCTTGATCGGTTTCCATGTTAAACATGATTAAGACATACATTAGTGTGCTCACCACATGCCAATTGCCATAAAGGGTGACCACCAACTGATTAATTAACATTTGAAACAACGTTTACTTCTTTATAAAGAAAGGAACAGCCACATACAATTCATGCCCACATGAGGATGTGACACCAGAAATATAATAATAATCTCCAACTTGTATTATTAAATTAATTTGACCAAAACCCATAAAAATTCTCCAACTTGTATTAAAGATGAAGCCACACAAATTTTGTTTCCATTTGCAATTTTAATAATTTCCACCCAAAAAGTCAAAAAATGGGAAGAGTGTGGGATCAGCCTCCTTCCTTAGATCCTCACCATATATATTTTATTTAAAAAGACATGATACTTCAAAAAGTGGCCCCTTTTTTCAACGCTCGATTAAATATTGAACAAAAGAAGTTTTAATTTATTGGATTCACCTTTGTGGAATAAGAATAAAATCTGACCACATGCATACAAAAGCTTATGGTACTATCTCCAATTCCAAACTCTCCTTTCCCATTTTCTCCAGGAGATCTTTCTTACCACGTTTCATATTGCCTTTCTGTATTAAATATTGAGGTCTATTTCCTTTGGAAAAAAGAACAGTTATATCATACTATAGATTTATTCCAAACACCGTCAGTAAAAAAAAGAGAGTTAAGACCCCGAAAAATTCCAAACTCATACATCTGTGATAAATTTACCCCAAACTAATATTATGACCATGAAAAACTCCAAACCGGTACACTTGTATCTACCCTAAACTAATTTTTTGATCACCAAAAATCCCAAACTGATATATTTGTGATAAATTTACCCTCCGTTAAATTAGATTAATACCACGAAAAATCACAAATTGATAAACCTGTGACAAACGGAGGGATAAAACTCCAAACTGGTAAACTCATCAACTGCCACGTGTTATCCAACTCATAAATTTGACGGTAAAATTTAATGAAAACTAATAAAGGGTAAATTTGTCATGGGCGTACAAGTTTGGGGTTTTTTGTGGTAAAAAAATTAGTTTGGGGTAAATTTATCACATGTGTACCAGTTTGGGGTTTTCCGTTATTAATCCAAAAGAAAATTCTCCATATTACTAATGATGAAGGCCGTATGTGGAGAAAATTTTCTTTACTGATAATGTTTCTAAGTACAGTCCTTGTCATATAAAGCTTATGTTATGAATGAATGTGATTAATTTTTTTTATATGTTTTAATTTATTAAACAAAAATTACTTAATTAGTCTAATCAAACCAAGGTGGACCACCAGCTCCTCAAACATATCATATATATTAGTGAAAGGACCACCACAATGCAATAAACAATTTCATTTTTTTATTTCTACCTTACGATCATGTGTCCAAATACAAGTTTATTTAAAGATTTTTAAGCACCGTCTGATCCAGAGGAGCCAAGCAATTATAATCTATTGCTACAGAATTATTGCAAGGTTCATAATTAATTTTTATTTAATATTGGTGGAGAGAGGTGCCCAGAAAATGGAAAATAAAAATAAAAAGAGGAGGAAAACATTATACCCAAGTTCGCGGTGTTTGTTTTCGGAGACTAAATTTTAGTTGTTTTTTTTTTTTGGTCAGAGAATAAATTTTAGTTGTTGTAAAATCAGGAATGATGGACTGAGAAAATAATTAACAATTATTTTAAATTCGAACTCGGGGGGGTAATGTAATCAAAGATTGTAAGTACGGTCTAATCTAAAGATAGGCATGTCGCGTAATATTTTTTTGGTAAATTATTGATATTAAAGTTTCTATTAAATTAAATTAATTTAACGTAGAGTAGTGTTTCATAAAACAATAAATTTTCTGTGAAAGCCCAATTCAGAATATTCGTCGTATTGCTTGCTTCCGTGCGTTCATTTGCTTTATTTTTATTTTTTCTAATATCGGTCGATTTTCAAGCAAATTCCAATATTTTGACTTGAAGATTTGCTAGATCTCAACATTTACAAGTTAAAAAAACATTTATAAGTTTAATAATACAATGGTAATTTAATTTTTTTTTCTAAAAATACCAACTGCAGCAATATATGTGGATTGTTATGGGAGATCTTATATTTTTTTACATTTTTTTAAATTTAGATCGTTCAAAATTTGCTGATCTTCTTACATAAACATTCCGTATGGCCAAATTGATTACAATTCCTTAAAAGCAGAGACTTCTTTGTATATATCCCAAATGCAAACCCCTAAGGAATCATGTGCAATTAGAATAACAACATTATAGTAAATCGTTTTTCAAAATTGATTATTCATCGCGATATGACAAATTATATGGCAAAAAACCCGAGACGACAAATTTTAATGGGTGGTTAACAAAATATACGATTGTCGGTTTTCGATAAAAGTCTATTCAATGAAAATCTACCATATCACGTACGTTAATTTGATAAATCATTCTAATTTCACTCAATCAATCATTTTACGAAAAACAGAAGAGAAAAGCAAAGAACTCTCAATTTGCATTGTTGAATACTATAAGCATCCCGTTCCCATCGTTAACCATTTTAAAGAAAAATATCCTCAGCTCGAATTTCGCGAGGGTCCGGAAATTTAAAAGCGTGTATTATTTAAATTTAATATTAGAGGAGTCATGGATGCGGTCTTACGAACGGAACATTCGTTGATGCACGCTAAATTAATCACATGTATTCGTGATCATTAATCATGATTAGTTCTATACAAAAAAACAAATTAAAAAGGTTAACCTCTTTGAAATTAGCGTGTCCAACACCATAATAATGCATTCTAGCAAATTTTTTTTTAGCAATAAAAAAAAATTGCACTCTAAGAATATTTATTTATTTAATTGATTATTGGCAATATTTAGAAGGGGGGGAAAAAAATAGTTGGTCGAGAACTCTGACAAAAGTCAAACTTTCCAAGTAAATGCTCCTGAACCAGGGGCGGTGGTCCTTTTCCGACAAAGTTCAGAAGCAAAGGAAAGGCCCCACGCGCGCTCCCGTGGGCGCGACCGCACCGGATCCCTCCCCACCCCGAGCGCTCGCTAACTTCCTTCTAACTTCGATATTTGGCGCGTACAACAAACCACCTTCGCCTCACAAAAAACAGGAAAAGAAAAGGGGGGTCCAAACAAATTAAAAAAAAAAAAAACCGAAATTCGAAAATAGAAAATTAAAAATAAAAAAACGAAATCCCCGCATACATTCCCCGCATAAGCAAAGAGGAAATAAACAAAATTAAAAATTGAAAAGGAGGTAAAAAATTGGAATAAAAAAAAAGGAAAAAGGAAACTGAAAGAGCAGCAGCACAAAGAGTGAAGAAGAAACATCTCTTCTCTCTCCTCTCTCTCTCTCTCTCTCTCTCTGCTTCATCGCGCACGAGCTCGAGCTCCGCCCCCCCCCCCCCCCCCACCTCCGCAGCTCGGAGCACCGCCGCCCGATCGGACCCCATTGCCGCCGCGGCCGCCGCCCCGCCGCAGCGCCGCGATCGCCCGATCGCCATTCCGCCGCCGGTCCCGACGAGCCCGGCGTCCCCGCTCCTCCCACCACCACCACCGCCACCACCGCCCGCACCACCCCCCGGCCCCACCCCGACCGTACGATGGAGCCGTACGGCCCACCCGGCGAGGAGCCGCGGTCCGATCCCGGCGCCGAGACCGGCCTCGAAGGTGAGTGGCGCGCCTCGTTCGGCTCTGCATTTCGGCTTCTTTCCTTTTCTCCGGTCTTGCGGGGCGTCGCCGCGCGGCCCCGACGATTTTCGGCGGCGACGCGTGCCGGGAATGCGAATCGTGAGCTTCGGTCGGTTTTCTCTTTTGCGTGTTGCAGAGCGCGTGTGGCGGTTGGAATTGGGAGGCGCTAAATCGTACCCGGAGAGGCCCGATGAGGCCGATTGCATCTACTATCTGCGGACAGGGTTTTGCGGATACGGCGCGCGCTGCCGTTTCAATCACCCGCCCGACCGTAGCGCGGTACTTCCCTGCCGCCTCCCTGTGGTTCTGCAATCCGATCGTCGTTTTGGTTGTTCGTCGGTTGGTCGTTTGTTCGATCCTTTTTGATCTTGTTTTGGACTGGTGTGATCTTGTCGTTTTAGATTAGTTAATTAGGCGTTGCGGTTTGATTTTGGTAATGCTGTTTGGACAGTGAATGACGCTAGTTTGACAAAACTTGTTGATCAAGGATCTGAAAATGTTTGGCATGGAGTAACTATGTTCGGAATAGACAGACGTGCGATCTTTCTAGTTGCCATTTCTGGGTGTCAACTCAGATGTCATTCACCAAACAATGTAGATTTTGTACGCTTCTCAGGTGCTTGGGGCTACACGAGCTGGTGCAGTTGAGTATCCTGAACGCTTGGGCCAGCCAGTGTGCCAGGTAATACATTTGGTCTTCTTTTTTCCCTCTGTGTAGGTATGCTCAGTGCCGGATGTGCCGGGGCATGCTCTCTGTTTTTCTTAGGTAGTGTACGACGAAGGTTTTTGTTCCTCTCTAACGGGCTCTGGTTTGGATGCAATGCATTTTCTATACTGCAGTACTACATGAGGACGGGTACATGTAAATTTGGTGTGTCCTGTAAATTCCACCATCCTAAGCAGGGAATTGGTTCTGCTGTCCCTGTCGCCCTCAATTTTTATGGTTACCCATTACGCCCGGTTCGTATAACATCACTCACAGAGTTTAATAAATAGATGCCTTGTTATGTATCATTATCAGATTCGCTCCACATCTAATTCTACGAAAAATGAACTTTTAATGATTTCAGGGCGAGAAAGAGTGTTCCTATTATGTAAAGACAGGGCAATGTAAGTTTGGTGCCACATGTAAATTTCACCATCCTCAGCCAGCTGGAATCCAGGTTCCAACACCAGGAGCAGCACCACAGATTGCTCCGGTGGCTGCTCCGGTGGTGCCATCTGCAGTGTATCCTACTGCGCAGTCCCCTGCTGTTCATTCGTCTCAACAGTATGGTGTTGTAGTTGCAAGGTCTCCTGTATTGTCATCATATGGCCCCTACGGTTCTGTTTTTCTTTCCCCCAGCATGGTTCCTTATCATGGTTGGAGTCCTTATCCGGTAGGTGAATCAAAGTCCACTATTTCCAACTTCATGCCCTATTTAGTGCATGCGCTCTTTAATTGTATGATGTCTTCCTCAGGCAACGGTTGGCCCGGTTGCCTCTCCAAGTGCTCAACCTTCTATGGGGTCGGGTTCAGTGTATGGAGTAACCCAATTATCTCCACCGATGTCAGGTTTCCCTGGACAATATCAACCTTTACTTTCCTCTTTCGGTGCTTCAAGTGGTTACCAAAAAGATCAGTCATTTCCAGAGAGGCCTGGCCAACCTGAGTGTCAATATTACATGAAAACAGGATATTGTAAATACGGATCTTCGTGTAGATACCATCATCCGCCAGATCTGATTTCACAAGAAGCAAGTGTTTTGCTTAGCCCCATTGGCTTGCCAATGCGTCCAGTAAGCATCTTTCCCTTGTCCTTTATTTTTCTTGATTAAGTTACTGGTTCTATGGAAACTCTGTGCTGGTCCTAGGTTCTCGGGCCAATCCTGCTCTGTCTACTTTAAAAGCACATGTTAAGAATGGGACTAAGCTGGGCTTTGATGCGGGGTTTAATCTGTGTTTTTTTCTTTTTATCTTCCCCACATGTTCTTGGGAGAATCTTCACAATGCTTGACTAATAATTGACAATAAATTTCCACGATGTTGCCTTCAATACTTTGTGATCCAACCTCGACTTTTATGGTTGTGAAGAGAGGAAATTGCCGACTCAGTTGAGATCCTATCCTGGGGGGATGCGTATATCTCACTACTTAGAGATGGAGTATAGAGAACATAATCTTTCTAGCATACTACTTGAGAGGCTTATTTTCATGACCACTGAAAAGATGTCTTTGAGCAATGTTCTGTTGGTTACAGGACATGATATATTCATGGACAACAAGCTCCAAACTGCAATCTGCAGCATTTAGCGGTTTTAAAGTTCAGCCAATGATGTGATCTACCTGGAGTCTTCCCTACCAATGTCCATAATTTAACTTGTAATACCCACATGGATTTTCTATTTCCAAGCATTTGTCATCCTTTCCATAGTTCTTCCCTGTTCTGGGTTTTCTCAAATGTGTTTGAGTTACAGTTCATGATACTATCAATTCCTTACTATTTTGTTGCTATGGATCACGATTCTTCAAGTGGAAAGAAGATGGAAACTCGGTTTTTCTATCCTGCCAAGTTCGTGATGCTAGTGCGAGCGTGTGTATATTATATATATATATATATATATATATATATATATATCTAGTCCACTCTCTTCCCTCTCAATTACTACAAACTAGCAAGATACAGTTGTATCTTGAGGAGTCCCAGAGTCTGTAATATAAGAGTTTTCTTTCTCTGCAAGCATGAAGAGTGAGACTACTCCATTAACCATATCTACTTCTTGAGTTATTTGTGGAAACTACCTCTGCTTATCATGTCCTTTAGGGGAAGGCTTTGTGCTTTAGTGTTATAAATGCTGTGGAGAGAACTACGAGCCAAATAACCTGCAAGAGTATACAAAATCATCATCTTCCCAAGAACTTAGAAATTTTATGGCATGAGGCTTGTTATTTTTGGACTGTGTAACCATAAATAGAAGTCAAATTGCATGTTATCTTTTAGTGTTATTGGCAGCCAATGCTGGTAGGGGAGGTCTCGTATCCCTAGACTAGTATAGGAGATTCAGATTTTCTGGTACCTTCCAACCCCCCACGTAAATAGTAGACGAATGAGCTAATAAAGCTCAACATAATAAGTGTAGCTTTGTTTGCCCAAAATTGTGTTTTCTCTATTGTCTAGTGACTAATGTGTGTTGTTTAGCCATTTTTCGAAAAGTGGAACCTACTGAAACTGTCTATTGCTAATTGACGAGTAAGTACGCAGCAGTGGATCCTGTTGTTATGTATTCAGTGAGCCATAATGCCTTTGTCTGACTGAAGTGTTTCACTGAAGGTCTTCTATGTTAGGGCGATGATGCAGCTCACAGGAATGATCAAGTTGATATTTCGCATGATGTTTCCATTATCATTGAGTTGATGCAATAATTTACCTTCACCAAAACTTGGTGATTATGGAAATATGGTGACACCTATCAAATTGATCGATATTGTGGGCTGCATCGGCAAACGGTGTCAGTTTTTTACTGGTGCAATTGGTAAGCGATCATCTGACTAGCAACTCAGCATGATATTCATGCAGAGACTTCTCTCCAATACCTAGTGAAGAGTTTGCTGAGATAAAGATTCTTTTACAGTTAACAATTTAGACTTAACCGTAAATTTTGGGAGAAGTTTCTCCCTTTCAAAATTGAAAATCAAGAGTAAAATCTTTCACAAGAGTTGCATTACTCCAGTTAAACTCATAGAATGTTAAATGATAAGTTGTTCCCGTAATTCTTTTCTATTTTCCGTTCAGATTTTTAGATCTTGAAAGAAATATGAATTCTTATGTTCAGCCTTTTCTGACTGATTCAGAAGTCTAGGAAATCTAAATTGAGAGTTCCATGTGTTCCTCTGTTATTGATATTGCCATTCTATGCTTAAGTGGAATGCATCTGGACTTATCATCGATGTGTTACATGAAAAATGTCCATTTAGGAATCTGAGAATAACAAAAGTAGCAGATAAAGAACTGATAAGGTATTGCTTATTCTGTTGACTTAGCTTATTGTGGCAAGTGAGAAGATGGACTATATAGGGAAGGCAATGGTAGATCTAATTCGGTATGCAAGAGTGCACATATTAACATCTGACATTGTGAAAACCACCCTTTGTTTATTTTTTTCTTAAATTTTTGGTTGGCTGCTTGCTTGACATCAGTGTTTGTTTATGTCTGTTTCTGTGTGATGTCTGCATATCGTTTGAATACTCAGTCTACTCTTTCCACATGGCTTGATTATCATTTGCAGTATGCATCTTGCATTCCATGATACCTAATCTTAGGCCTTAAAGATCAAATTAGGTTTTCTTATAGAAACTATGGCCTTAGTAAGAATCTTGTAAATACATGATGCTAAGAAAAGGTAAATGGGTAATAGTTTTTGGAGTAAATCTAATCTTGGGATAGGTTTGATATGAGTTCAAAAGGTGAAGATTCATTTTGATAACCTCAAAAAGTGGGGATAAAATTGAAAAATGGAGAAAAAGTGACAATTTTTATTGCAATTTGGCCTAGATAAAAAGGAGAATAATCATTTTCTACATACATGATGAAATTCTTATAAAACCTTCAAAAAGTTGTTTAGCTTATAATTGAATTCTCGATTTGAATGCAGGGAATTCTGTTTTCAAATTATAAGATATCCTAATAAGCTATGATGATAGCTATATTTATAATTCGGTACGTGAAGTCTTGCTCAATGTGTGTTGACACCTTGCTAGTAATAAGAATACTAAATGCTCGACATATCAAAAAAGAATCCTTGCAAACGAACTTTCAATAAGCTATTTTTGGACAAATTAAGTTTAGGGTATTTGTACTATGTTTAATAAAGAAATGTTTTCATTAGCAAAACACTTAAAAGAATCATTACAGTATTGCAAAAATAATAATATTTTTTATTTGGATGTTTAAAAAATCTCTTTTGTCTTGACTTTTATTTTTTTTGGTAAGGTTGTCTTGACTTTTATTTATCTTTCGCCATTCCAAGAATCCAATGGCTTCTACACTTGGCTGTACTCAATCCACCAAATATTATGACGAACTTCAGTAAAGTTTGATTCAAAACATACCAAAGCACAAGGCTTACCTTTCTTTTCAAACCAAGCTTTACGCTTCAGGCATTCTTTATGTCTGTTTCTGTGTGATGTCTGCATTTAGTTTGAATACTCAATCTACTCTTTCCACATTGCTTGATTATCATATGCACTATGCATCTTGCATTCCATTGGGTATCGAGTCTTACCACAAAGGTGCTTATCTAAGATAAAAGCTTAAGCGTTTCAGAGTACAATCTAATGCTGGATGACATATCATGCCTCCTGAGCAGTGATAATACCCCTACACTAGCCCCAAAGGAGTCTCATAACTCTACCTTATTTTGCATCTTCCCACTATTTATCCTTCTAAAAGATAGCTGGATCAGCTCAAGTATGGCTAGACTAAATTGAAAAGTACATTTTGCCGCCTGAAGCGTGTCCACTGTATCAATCTGCCCCATCTAAGTTTAATTTTATCTCATTTTACCTCCTACACTATTAGAACTGTAGGAGTTTGCCTCAAGTTCCTGCTACTGGTGAAGTTTTTGTCTAATCTGATGCACGAAGCATGTAATCCACAATTGCTGTAATGAATATGAAGAGGTTGTTTTATGTGAATCTTGGCGATTAAACTGTGAAACTTCAGCCAAGAGTTTCTGTATCAGTCCCAATCAGAGACTACTATTCTTTTTTTTTTTTGGTCAAAAGAGACTACTGTTTAATAATTGCAAATATTGATTCTATGCAATCTCTTTTGGAATTATATCAAATTGGCAAGTAATTGAGTGTGGCATGCTAAAAAGGGTGACTCAATAGAAATTCGCTAGTGAAAAGTACTTCAGGCAAGCTAATGTAAATTCTGAAATTGTTGGGGTAAAGTAAAGGAAAAGAAGATTTCAGGGGAGAAAAAAGATTCAGATTGTGCATACTTCATGAAATGAAGTGTGTTTTTTTTTCTAAACTAAATTTCAGTCATGTTATAGGTGTTTGCTTCTCTGTTCTTAGATGGATTGCAGTGTGCATGAGATCTGCATCCTGCAACTATATTGAAAATTAGGAAGTGTTCATGATGCTTGCCAGTATGTTTTGTGCTATAATAATACAAGCCAAGGTATTTTTCACAGATCATGGTTAATTTTTTTGAATAAAAGTATGCCTATATCGATACATAGCGTCGTGTCTCACTGTCATGTAGGTTTATCTAGGCAAATTTACCTCAGTCAAAAGGGTTTCTTCTCTTCTGCACACATGTTTTTCCCAATTTATTTTTAGTACTTAACCCTGATGCTAATTGCTGACTTGTTGATTGTTATCCTGCATTTCATTCTCATTACAGCTATGACAGGAACAGAATGTAGCTAATGTCTTTTCTTCTGCAAAAGCAGATTTATTTTTGTATTTTTTTAAGATCTGTCAAGTGGTATCTACCAAAAATGACCATTCATCACATAATTCCCAAATAAAGAGTTCCATTATGGAGTCCCATAAGAGCTTTATCTCCAGTTGAATGGCTATTCCCGCTTTCTTATTTGACTTGCGATACGTCGAATATGCGATTGGCCTGCAGGTTTAAGTTGTCTCACTCAACTTGTGTTTGCATTTGTTTGCGAGACTGGAGTATGAAAATCATGAAATTGCAAGTTTACTATTTCCAAGCTGTTCTAGAAAGGATAATTGAATACGTAGGCATTTGGCTGGGCTTCTTCCTACATGATAGTGATGCTGATGCTCACTGCTTGTGACTTGCCTTTGGCAGTCAATATAAAATTTAATAGGAAGTACGATCCCTGGAGAGTGAGTGGACTTTTTCTAATGTGCCTTGCTTATTGCTAATCTGGTTATGTTTAGATGCTCCCTGATTGGGTTAGGGTGCAGATGGTATGCGCTTCCCTAATTAAGACAGGCACAACTGCAAGCTCATACTCAATTTATGGACACTAACTTCTCTCGTCAAGAGTGAATTTTATCACTCTATGTTGTATGACTTTGCCATCTTCTGCAGTCCCTCATGACATCCTAGGCATCTTCTATTGCTGCTAAATGGTACGCTAGTGACTTGATAGTTAAGACTCAGAAGGTGTGGCACGCATATAGGTCGGCTGGCCTTTCATATCTGCATTGTCTCTAATTTCATTACTCTGACATCCCATCGTCGTGATTGTTCATTTAGCTTTTCTCCTTATTTCTATTCTCCCTCCATTTTTACACAATAATATGGGATCGTTTACTTTGATATACTTATCACGGTCGTATTGCTACTTTTAAGTTCATGATTTGTGTGACTGGGCATCTCAACTTACCTTTTTCTCATTGTCTCCATGAAAATTTCAGCTGTTGTAAAGCTACTCTTGTTCGTTCATGCTTGTGCTCAGCTATTCATGATTAATTTGAGTAACCCTACCATGACTTCTTATTTTGGCCTTTTTTTTTGGTCAATTAGGGTGCGCCACCCTGTACTTATTTTGCGCATCATGGAGTATGCAAGTATGGGCGAGCTTGCAAATTTAATCACCCAATGGGAATGCTGAGTTACAGCCCATCTGCATCTTCTCTGGCAGACATGCCCGTGGCACCCTACCCAGTGGGATCTTCCATTGGCACACTAGCTCCGTCTTCTTCTTCTTCAGAATTGCGGCCTGAACTTATTTCAGGGTCTCTCAGGGAGGCATCATCTACAAGGTCATTCTCATCAACGACTGCATCCAGTGCATCAATTGGTTCAGTTCTATCGAAGAGCGAAGCCGTTTCTCTTTCTAAATCCCAAAAGTCTTAGTCAGACTCTGGCTCTTCACCTGGCAACAACAGCAGGACTACTGAAGATCAGAGTACAATATGAATTAAGGGAACAAAAAGCTTTTCACAATACGTAGTTAGCCCAATTTTTGATGAACCAAAAACATCACATTTTTTGCCGAAACAGACCCAAGTAGGAGGCGCATTCTCAGATTCTGGTGCCAACATTCAGGTCTAGCAGACCGCTGCAGCTCGTCAGTTCCACTCTAGTACAATTTTTAGTTGGCCACACTTTTTTCTTGAATAAGCATGGCCAATCGACAAAGGATTAGCACAAGCTATATAATTTTCCTTCATTGCTTTGAATATGGGCAAGGGAGTCTGCAGTCTGAAACTTACAATTGTCTGCCCCAAATTTTGAAGGTTGCGTTTATTTATGACTAAATGGCGAAGATTGCTGGTACTGTCTTTCCTCATTAGACACATCTTGATGTTGCATTTCACGTCAATTTTGGGAACAAGCTTCCAGTTCAACTGAGAGAGAAACTTGAAGTTCTTCCCCTTCCCCTCTTTTTGTGCAGGGTGTATTATTGAATAAAAGCAGTTGACAAGAGAATCCAAGGACTCACTCCGGGTTCCTTTACCTGATTAGTAGATATATCATCCTCTTGGTACAATGACTGCTTGACTCGGTCTTTGAAATTATACCAAATACAAGTACATGAACAGTCTCTCTAACTTCTTTGTTGATTTCAGTCATGTCCCTTTCTTCCGAGCATGAACCTTGCTTCTTGTGATTAGTTCTGACTATCATTGATCGGCAAAATTGCTGAGTTATTCTTGCTGGAAACTGATTAGCTTGCTCGAGTAGTTATTATGTTTCTCTGGTACTAAAAATGAGATACAGAGTTTTGAGTGCATTTATGTATGACAATTGCTTGCTAGAAAGAACAGAAAATCCTTAAATTCACCTACGTAAGTTGGGTACTTCCAGAAGGCTGCTGGCATTAGTTGTTACAATGCGTTTTTCGTGTAAAAGGTAGTAGCATAAGGTATTTAAGGCGTCAAAGCCTTAATTAGTGAGCGATTTGGCTTGAAGTTTTCTGACCTTTGCGATGAAACTCCAACATTGTCTTCGAATTACGTTTTTGGCTCGGATTACTAAAGAAATACCAATTTTTTTGCTTATTCTTCTTGTTTGCGGTTTTCGCCTTGTTTAGTTGCTTTTATGTTCAGTATTAATGCTATGTTGGTGTTTTACATGAACAAGGAGAATGTGCATGTATGCGTTTCATTTGGATTTTCATCTTGTCATAATCAATGCACTAGAAAGTGTCTCCTGTATCAGTAAATCAGGAGTTTACCCACTTTGATCCTACCTAGTCTAATCAACAAGGTTTTGCATCGGATTGTCGAGGGAATGACGACTTTTCTTCTCGTTCCTTCTAAGACTTGAGTTTTCAGTTCGACTGTCTTCTCGATATGTGAAGATGAAGCAGAATGTGCATATATGGTGAAAGCATGATTAGATCTATTAGGGTCACATGCATATTCTGCATCAGCTCATCATGTCTTTCGGCTCGGTACTTATGGAATCTCGACTGTAACTTCAAACAAGGTAGCTAAAAATGGCGACAAGAAAAGGCAGCGCAGCAGTGTCCCTTTCTTTTGTAGTTCTTGCTATTCCGAGAAGTCTTGGTTCGCCAAGAATCACTAGTTCAAAGGTATATGAGTAGCCCCAACTTCACACTAAGTAGGCCCGTCGATATTATTTTGATACATGCAAATATAGTGATCGGAATTGCTTTGGCATGGTGCTATGTTGTATTGGTAGGCCAATCTCGGACGGCGTTACACTCTCTCGGGCGATTCGAGATTCGAGAGCTCTTGCTGCCATGTTGCTGTGACAATCCATTCATCTGAGGGCAGAGAACGATTGTAGAGACCGGAGGGTTAGGATAAGGTGTGTCTCGTGTCGAGTGTTAGACAGTCGACCCATGTCCCAAACCAGAACCGCAGAAGTCCAGACTGAAAACTCCAACGAGTTCCAAGTCCCGCGCGGCTAGCTAGCCTTCCCATACTCACTCACAAGAATCTAAGAGAGAGAAACTCTAGAGAGAAGCTCTCGAATGTATTTCACTTGAGAATGAGGGGTAGGGAACACCTTTATATACAAATATAAGGTTAACCGTATCCGTAAATCTCTCCTTGATCTAACGATGGAGATTGCACCTCCTTATTGTCCAATCAAAGGCCACCTCTCTATCGGCCAATAGAATTACAAGGATGAGGTACAATTACAAAATACCCGCCCCTAGAGTATTCTAGAACATATCAAGAAATTTATAGTACATAGAATACCCAAGGTCCGCTTTCTCGTTCATGAATCGGTCACGGTCCATCGTTCAGAAAACCTCAAGAACGATCCAATTCTGTGGGCCGTGACACTTAGATCTTTCTAATCTTGATTCTTAGTGATCTACTAAAATGATTCGAAATTTTGAAAGTAGACTTTGAGCTGATCTAGATTGATCGAACATCTTAAGTAAATTTTAGGGAAAGGATAATGATACAAATAGTCCATGAATTTAAATCTAATGTGCAATATGTGCAATGTAGTCCGTGAACTTTTAATTTGTTCAATGTGGTCCATGATCTTTAACTCAATATGCAATGCTTTCACTGAACTTTTAATTTGTTCAATGTGGTCCATGGACTTTTGGAACATGTTCAATATAGTCCTTGAACTATATAAAAATGTTCAATATTGTCCTTCTATTAATCAAGTTTAGGGATAATATTTAATTTTTTTTATATAATCCAAGAACTAAATTGAACATTTACCATAAGTCCACGGATCACATCAAATAAATTAAAAGTTTAGGGACGATATTGTACATTGGGCTAAGTTCAGGGACAATATCGAACAAATTAAAAGTTCAGGAATCATATTATACATTGGGTCAAAGTTCATGGATCATTTGTATTCTTTTCCCTGTAGGAAAATTATACTACTGGGTGTGAGTCTACGAGCTGAAAAATGGTATATGGGCACTTCTATGGTACACCCAACGTACCCCACAATGTTATTTTGTGTAATTGTTATTAAGTATAAAAATGCCATAATCAGAGTAAAAGAATAGTCGAAAAAGAGGTTACACGGACATTATTATCAAATCCATCGAGAAGTAGTGTCAATTACGGATGTATTTGTTTTAGGAGGTGGATTGATGTCCCGATTAACTTTGTGACAAATCATAAATCTTATCTGATGTGACAAAAATGTACTTTTGAAATATCATCGTGATAATTACGAAATATCGAATACTAGAATTTCTTTTTACATTTTCACAGGAAAGATATATCGATGACCCTAGGTTTTCTAACATTTTATAAGTGAAAGGTCGGATGAGTTATCTAGAGCGTCTAAAAAGGCAAAAAAGTAATGTGAACAAAAAAAGAGAAATTACAATTTTTTTTCCCTACGAACTAAGAAAATAAAGGTTGTGGGGTTGCCTTAAAATCTTTTTGGGTCCCTTGCAAAATTTCTGGGGATCTTTGAGGACATGATGTCTAGGGACAAGTTTTTCATTACTAAGTTTTTAACCAGTCATTCTAATGCGGATTAAAGGGTGAGCACCATGTCCGGGGGTGGGGAAAAGGCACCCAAAACCCAAAAAATGACCAACTTTTGATTATTATTGACATGTGATTGACTTAGTCGATGAGAGCAGAGTTTGGTCATTTATGAATCGAATTATCGGTAACTTAAAGAGAATGGACAACTTGCTAGTGAAGTCATTAATAATACACAACGTGAAGTTATCGCTGTGAACTTTGAAATTGATCGGCTAAGTCATCAACATCGACATTGACATCGACATCAAGTGATGGACACAAGGATAACCGCTTGGTGGTTGTTTGTCTTGCCGCTATTTTCAGACTGTTGTAATTTCTTATTTGTAAGTGTTGCTAGATAATAAGAAATTACGAAATAATTTCTTGTGGATAATGTAATTTCTCGTAACCACTAGGAAGTTATTTATTTTTTTGAATTTAGTACCATCTGTAGAGGGTTATAAATACCCCAAGTATGTTCTTTGTAGACCCCCCGAACAAATAACCAAAAAACTTATTATCTCTCAATTATCTTTCAATTTTTTTGTACCTTGGCTGTGGTTTCTAAATTTTTCATTGTCGATTAAATTCCAACATGTATCTTAGTTATATTTTTCAGATTTGGCTGTCGATTAAATTCCAACGTGGTATTATTATGTCATCATCACTTTGTTGTCGATTAAATTTTAGCAAAGCTTTTATGTCATTGCACTTCATCGTTGATTAAATTCTGTTAAAGCATATATGTTCCTTGTGCTCCATAGATAACACTCATGTTTGGAATAGGTACAAAACTCATCTTCTCTAAATAAAATCGAAGAATGAATTTTGGTGAAAGAAATTTCATCGTCGATTAAATTCCAGTGAAACATATTTTTGGCACGCCTAGTGGGACAACTTGTGGTTTGATTTTTTAGGAAATTCAATGCCAAAAACAAGGAATCATCTAGAGCCACTGATAATATGGTGGGTAACAATCCCAGTTGTAGTGACAAGGCAACGCACGTGAATCTTCAGCCGTTAACCAAGAGGTAGAAGAAGGTCAATGCGAGAGGGCATACCTGCCCCGATGTCTCATTGCACCAAATCCTTATACGTTGGCCACCATGAAGAGATTGTTTGAAGAACAATGGAACAATATGGCCAATTACTTTGTGAGTCACGTGTTAGTCGTGATTAAATCGATCGTCATTAATGCCATGAGTGATGTTCTCTCAAGGCCAAGATTGTCCAATCAATTACCATTACACAATTCAGTGATAATAAGGTGCATTCCTAATCCCTCTCCATTTATTGATGCCAATAATGTTAGTCAAAGTACTTAACCCCCTATAAGAATTATGTAAATCTGAATCTTTTAATCAAGGTTACATTGATGAGTATAATCAGGCTGATGTTGATAAAAATAACCAAATTGGTGACAATAATTTGTCAAATCAAACTGGTCAATAGGCTGGTCAACTACCAAGTGTTGATGTAAGCCTAGTGGCTCGATTGGTTCCACCCAATGTGAATATTCCTATTAGGCCTAACATGTCGATTAATGTTCATAATCTGTCAAGACCAGCATTACTGCCTAGTGGGAAAAATGACCAAGCAAATCCACAATTGAACTTAACCCTGTTTGTCAAAGAAGCTCGACAACGATTGGGGTTAAACAGGGATATTATCATACCTGTTTACAAAGAACCACGTCCGGAATGGGTTGATAACCAGCCTATTCCAAGAGGCTTTAAAATCCTTGAATTTGCCATTTTTACTGGCGAAGATGAACAATAGACCATTGAACACATTGGTCGATTTATAGCCCAATGCGAAAAAAACAGGGACAAATGAGTTTTTAAGAATTAGATTATTTCCTTTATCTTTGTCAAAAATTGCTTTTACCTGATATACTAATTTACCACCTAATTCGTTGTAATTAGGCAGAGATAGGAAGACAATTCCATTCTCAGTTTTATAGAACGATACTAAGATATCAATTGTTGATTTTGCCATACTCTATCAATATAATAGCCAGTCAATCAATTGGTTTGTTGCTCGATTCAAAAAGGCTAGAAATAGATGCCATACTTCACTCTTAAAGAAAGAATTCATAAATATAGCTTTCATTGGATTGAAATTCAATTTTGAAGAAAAATTAGAAGGCCAAGATTTTGC